TTCCAGAAAGTGTTAATAGACAACTCAAAAGAACTGTGACTCAATCCAAGAGAGGCTGTGAGGAGTTTGAACTTCTCTGGCCAACCCGCTCTTCACTTTCTGTAAAGGGCACAAAGGTTTCATTCAGCTCGGCTCAGAGGCTGGAAGTAAAAGTGATCTGACTATTTTTGAAAAGGTCAGGAGAGAGCACTTGCCCATCTTCAAATTCCTCTGAACCCTCTGCCAGCAGACATCACTGCGACGGGAGTCCAGTCCCGGGCCGTCACCAGATGCCACAGTGAGGCCATTATTTCCCTCATCGGCAGCGTTCAATCCCACTCTGTGAAATGGGTTCACCGTGTTTGATGAACCTGCACATGGGGTGGGGGGCTTCCAGGCCGCGCCTCGGCAGTGAGGTGGGGGCCATGGCCGTGCGGGGAGCCTGCCCTGCTCCTGGGCTGGCCACGCAGGCTCACAGCCTTGTCCAGAGTCCCCCAGCACCTCCTTTGCCAGCCAGGGTAGAGCCAACAGAGCACAAGAGAGGGGCTGCCTTTCTCAGGGATCTGTCCCTCCCCAGCCCTCAAAACTAGCACTGTGAACAGGGCATTTGGGCAGGATGATCCCTTTTCCTGAAATGCTACAGGATCTACTGCTCGAGGGCCAGCGTAGTTCTCAGCCTCGGGTCGGCCTTAGGCGGATACCGTTTCCTGTGCCTCTTCTGACCCGGCCCACCAGTGAGCAGCACTGGCAGCCATGTATCTCACATCTCGGCCCACGTCAGAGCAGAAGGGGCACCATCTGGGGGACTCTGGGGACAGAGCACGGCTGAGTTAGAGAGCTGTCCCCTGCCCCACCTTGCCTTGCCCACGGTCCTGCCCCGACTGCCCACCTTCTGCTTCGGCCTCCGCAGCTTCCCCCACTGACGACGGTCCTCAGGTCAGGGTGTGGACAGTGCAGAACAGCCCGGGGAGGTGTTACTGGGGCCGGGGACAGGCGTGGCTGCCCTGGCCTGTGGCGGCCTGTAAGGCCCCAGTACCACACTGCAGTTCTAACTTAAGACAGCTAGCGACCAGCTCTCCCCCACTTCTCTTTCCCTGGGTGAAAGCCAGGCTTCTACATGCACTCCTGAACCCCATTCCCTGTCCTAGCCCGTCTCTTCTGAAAAATGAAGCAAACAAAACACCACCACATCTGTGGAAGACAGTTCTGCCCACAAAGCCCTTCTGCACAGACTCGTCCAATCTGTCTTTGCAACTGATTAGGAGCAGCAACCAGATTCTTTCACACATGAACAAACAGGCTCAGAGGCATGAGATGCTCTGCCTGAGGTTGGTCTCACCACTGGTTTCAGAAGAAATTTGGTCAAAGAGCTCCTGTGTGCTATCCAGAAAAGCAGAGTGAACCTCTGACCAAATTGGAACTCAGTGCAAGACTCTGGGTGAGTCTGACCAGTGCAGAAGAGAGCAAGACGCTCACGACACTGTCCCCAAAGTACGGGGTGCTCTTGACCCCCACAGGGTCTGATAAGCATCACTACAGACCTCAAACTCACACTCCGGTAGCTGGGTAGAGGGAGGTGATGCATCGCTCACAGCTGCCAAGGCTGGCCTCATGTACCCCAGGGTGCAGTGATGAAACCTCAGGGGCTCCGAACAGAACGCCTGCCACCAAACCAGCCTTCCAGTTTCTTGGCCTATCAGCTGAGAACCCCATTCTCTAAGGTGTCCGGGTACTGGATGTGGACGCAGCATGGAGCTGGCAGACAGCCTGCTGTCCTCAGACCAAAGTTTGATATGCACGCTTTCGGTCACCCCCAAGTCATGAGAGAACCATTGAACCAATCAGGGCAGAGGCTTGCGCGCGAGCACACACACGCACGCACGCATGCACCAGCTGTCTGCGGGCTGACCGGTACGGCCAGGTCAGCGGCCCCAGGGACGGCTCCCGGCCCCACTGCCCTCCTGCCACCACCACTCTGTGCTCCTGATTCCGCTCCCTGAGTCACCAGCGCCTCTCCCCTTGGGTGCTCCCAAGACTCCACACAACAGCACATGGAAACAGCTGGAGATGTTCGGGGCCTCACATATGGTGCCCAAGTTCTCTTATCCATAATCGTATCTTCTGGGATCTTGTCCATGTCCCCTTGAACCGAAACAGACGCGGAATACAGTGTTTCCTGTACTTTACAGAGGGACTGACACGCTGGTGGCTCTGAGCTCAGTCTGCTGCCCCCAGGGAAGAGTCAGCTCACTGAGGACAGCTGTCCTCCTACGTTGCCTCCCGAGGCTCGCACTGCGTGGACGGGGGCCACGAGGGCTGGCCCTGACCACCTGAGGTACGTGTCTTGGGCTGTCTTCGGCATCCTCGATTCTCCCCGCCAGGCACCCTGCTCTCACACTGCCTTCAGAATTCATCTGAAAAACAAAGGCCGCACACCAAGGGCTTGAGGATTGAGAGCCACCCCTCTAAGGGGTGGCTAGATTCTGGAAGGCTCCCGAAGAGAAGGACTCTGATAAGTCCAAAGGATGGTATTGGAGACGGCGGGATTTTAGCACCTGAGACCCACAGGTATTTTGAGCAGAGGGCTCAATCCCTAACACCCCAAGCACCCCCAGATGCAATCTGCAGCCTGTGCCACCTATGACGAAAAGTGGCTCTCCAGTAACTGCAAAATTCTGTATTTCTTCTTTTGCGACAAATGTACAATTATTCTTTAATGTAAGAAAACAATTTCATTGCTGTTTTGATAAGGCCCAATAATGCTGACACAGACGTTACTATTTAACTTGGTGGGCAGACGAAGAAATAGCAGCATGATTAAATATTAAAGACCATCTGTCTGCCAGGATTTTTGGACCCCAGATCAGAGCGGTTACAGGACCTATCACCAGAAGAGAGAGTTGTGGTCAAGTGAGGGAAAGGGTCAACGGCCAGGCCGGCCAGGGACAAGCCTGCACCAAACACAAGCATTTCCTGTTGAGCACGTCATCCGCCAAGTGACACCCCACTGTTCCAGTCCACCTACAGAGAGTTCTCTTCAAGGTGTGGCCAGGAAAGTGACACTCAGTGACAAGCTGTTTTTGACAACTAGAAGGGAGCGGGGGAAGGACTAAGGAAAGCCATCTATTTTTTATTGAACACCACGTAAATTGAAATGAGTCAAGAAAATCTGAGTCTTCTCTGGGCCGCTATCACAGCCCTTCTCGTCCCAGAGACTCTGTGACGTGGCCTCGTCTTCTCTGAGAGAGAAGTGATAAATTAACCGGCACTCCCATACTGTGGGCCAGGGCGATCGCCTGCTCTGAGACGACGCGAAATGCTTTCCCCCTGAATTGGAACTGTGCTTGGTTAAGCGTCCTTCCTCCGGGTCCTCTGCAACGTCATCGGGATGCATGGGGATCGCCACCGTGTTGCCAGCTTGCATCAGCTGGCCATGGCTTCGGTGTAAGGACGCTCGAATGCACAGTGTGCTGGAGGGCAACACGAGTAGCTGCTCATCCATGGGGGCAGTCCTCTGCCTGAAGAGCCACCCGACCCGAGCCCAGCATCAGGACCATGCCCAGCAAGGCCGCTTTGCTGAAGGGAAGACTCTGGGAAAGGGAGACATCTACACACTTTCCCCTTGCTCTAATACAGAAGTCCGTAATCTCTGAAGTCACAACAGGAAGATGTCTTTGCTTTCGGACACACTCCAGTGACTTAATCAGAACTTGCAGGACATTCAACGGTACTCCATCAGCAACAGACTATGCGTCCGTGAGGAGAGGCCAGTCATCCAGCACACTCTTAGTTATTTTCCCCATTAACATAATTATTTCCTGTGCAGTGAAAAGGAAGTGGCATTTGAATGTGTCACAGGCAGAACAAGATGGCCCTGAAATCTTTAAAGGACTATGAAGACAAGGGCCAGCACTTTACTTGCAAATCATCCTGCATGAAATGAATGGCACAAGTTTATCAGAAGACAAAGCGTGCATCTCCCCAAGATGGAGTCAGCGGATGAACGTGGGCTTTAGTGAGCCCCTTCCCCAGGAAGCCACTCAGCTGGGCCCTGGCCATAAGTCTGTAGGATCTGCCTCACAGGTGATGACAATGACTGCCCCCGGCATGGTGGGCATCAGCAGACGGCGACTCCATGCTTGCCTCTTTCAAGGTGTTTCAAACTGAGATTGAGAGCTCAATTTCCCCAAAGTAAAAAAAAAAAAAAAAAAAAGTTTCGGTGATTTCCAAGAGCAAGGAAGCTGCAGTGTTGAATGTGGGAATGCACGGAACAGGCAGTCATCCCCATGCCGAATGTCACTTCCCGGCAACAAAGCACAGCCATGCTGTTCGGCGGGCAGTGGGCACCCCCACAGTCCACAAGTGAGAAGGTGCAGATCCCAGAAAAGCGGGTCTTCCCCAGAGCTGACTCAGCCCCGGACACAGCCTCAGAAGGCACTCTGGTTTGACGAAATACAAAATAAAGCTAGCCTGAATCTGGAGACCTGTAAAGGTCTCTCCACGCTGCACACTGAATCCCACAGCTAAGTCCCACATACTTCCTATCTGTCCCCTCCCCAGGCGAGGCTATCAACTCAGACGTGCCCCCGAGCCCCTCTGTTTCTGGTCACTTTGCCTGGCCCGGGGTTAGAAGAGGGAGAGAGGGGGGCTGTGTTCACCTCCGTTCCTTACTAAAACCAGGTGCAAATGCTGGGGGCAGGAAGCAGAGCAGGCTGCACCTCACTTCGAATCCATGACCCCAAGCTCTTTCGACAGCCCAACCCTGGCAGCACCAGCTTCTTCAGGACTTAGACCAATGGCCAGGCCACGTACTGGGCGATCTTACAGGTACACCTGCTCTAGGCCTCCTGTTGGCCTCCCGAGGCTGTGGGCCCCAGTCTGAGCGGGCTCATTTCCCCCCATCCACACTGTATTCTAAGACTACCGAGGTCATCTGACAGAATCAGCACGGAAAGATGGCTTCTTCTAAAATCCAACATGCAATGATTTATTCGGTTCAAGAGAATGGGGTAAGAGAAAAGTTCCCAAGTTTTCTTTTCACCAATTTTATTTATATTTGGTAATTTTCGCTCAGAGAATCTATCAATTCCTTTTTCAGTCTGAGATGTATGTATGGGTGGATGTATTGTATAATCCCTTAGAAACTTTATTTGGTATAACTTCACATTTTTGGTATATAGAAATAATTTTATTTCGTATTGCAGCACAGTAGACATACAATTAATATTATTTCCTAGAATGTGTAATATATAAATTATTCACATTAAAAAATTAAGAACAGAAAGCCTCATATGCAGGAAATATTTAAAAATGTGTACGTAATTTTGAATCTGTTTTTGACTATACACTACTAGCTTTATAAATCCGAATGAATATGACAAGATGCACATTTGAACAAAGTACACAGATGGGTCCACTCCAGATGCTTAATTCACTATGCAGAGAACTTGCTCTTCACTTTGGTCATTGGGATTCCAGGTGCTGAGGCATATATGGATCTGAAAGATACTTCCAGAGGTACATTTATTACACTGGCATTTGAAAGATTTCTGTGTCTTCTATTCTCCTTTATAGCGAGGGGACCTTTTCTCTTTAAAAGCAAGAAGACCTTCAAGCCTGTCTTTTGTTGGAATAGTCTAGAGAAACAAAACATTATGTTACCTATACCAAAAAGTAAAAACAACTATAAAAGTTTAACAAGCTTTATGTAAAAAAAAAACAAGAATAAAAAAACTAACTAGAAGGCAATCTAAAATTTTGAAATCTACTCATCATTTGAACAATTCTAATTATGTGACTAAATTCACATTCTAATTCCAAATACACTTCCCCCCATTTTAAATGTACTTTAAAAAACCAACAGACTGTATTTTTTAGACAATTTTAGGTTTACAAAAAATTGAGCAGCAAGTTCAGAGTTCCCACAGATTCCCTCAATCCCCCAAGGTTCCCCCATTATTAACATCTTGCATCAATGAAGTACATTTGTTACAACTGATGAAGCAATATCGATACGTTATTATTAACTAAAGCCTATAGTTCACACAGGGCTATGTTGTCGTACCATGGATTGACAAATGCATAATGCCATGTATCCAACACTACAGTATCCCACAGAATAGCTTCCCTGCCCTAAGCATCCTTTATGTCCCATCTACTCACCCCTGCCCCCTGCTGCCTTTTCCAGAATGTCATATAGTTGGAATCCTACAGTACATAACCTTTTTAGATGGAAATCCTTCACTTAGTATGCACCTGAGGTTCTTTCATGCCTTTTTGTGGCAGGATGGCTCATTTCCTTTTGTCGCTGAATAATACTCCATTGTATGGATGTGCCTTAGTTTATCCATTCATCTATACCTCTTGGTTGCTTCAAAGTTTGGCAGTTATGAACTAAGCTGCTAAAACACCATGTGCAGACTTTTGTGTAGATATAAGTTTTAAACACACTTGGGTAAACACATAGAGGTACAATTGCTGGATCATGTGCTGAGATTATGCTTAGCTTTGTAGGAAACGGGCAAATTGGTATCTTGTTTGTATTTGCATTTCTTAATGATGGATGATGTGGAGCATCTTTTTCTATGCTTACTTGCCATCTGTGTATCTACTCTGGTGAGGTGTCTGTTCAAATCTTCCACCCACTTTTTAATGGGTTGTTTTCTTATTATTGAGTTTTAAAAGTCCCTTGTCTGTTTTAGATACAAGTCCTTTATCAGTTGTGTACTGCAAAGACCTGTTCCCAGCCTGTGGCTTCTCTTTTCAGCCTCTTCACAATGTCTTCTGCAGAGTAGAAGCTGTTAATTTTAATGAAGTGAAACATCACTTTTTTTCTTTCATAGATTATACTTTTGGTGTTGTATCTTAAAGAAGTCATTGCCAAACCCAAGAACACCTACATTTTCTATGTGATCTTCCAGATGTTTCAGAGGTTTTCATTTTACATTAGGTCTATGGCCCCATATGAGTTAATTTTTGTGAAGGGTGTAATGTCAGTGTCTAAGGTCACTTTTTTGTTGCCGAATGCCCAGATGCTTCAGTACTATTTGTTTTGAAGACTATCTTTGCTCCACCAAATTGCCTTTGCTCCTTTGTCAAAGGCCATTTTATTTTCTATGAGTCTACCTATATGACTATTTTATACGAATCTACTTCTGGGCTCCCTATTCTGTTCCACTGATCCAACTGTCTGTTCCTTTGTCAACTCCACACTGTCTTGATTACTGTAGCTTTACAGTAAGTCTTGGAGTTGGGTAGTGTCAGTGCCACAACTTTGTTCTTCTGAGTAACTGGACTGGCTAATCTAAGTCTTTGGACTTTCCATATGAACTTCAGAATTGGTTTGTCGACACAGATCAAGTAACATGCTGGATTTTTACTGGGATTGTACTGACTCTCTAAGTAAAATTGAGAAGAAGTGACTTCTTAGTAATAGTGAGTCTTACTATCCATGAACATGGTATATCTGTCCATTTACTTAGATCTCGATTTCTTTCAACAGTTTTGTAGTTTCTCTCCAATAAATCTTATACATTTTTTTTTAGATTTCTACTTAAGCATTTGTATTTTTTGTACTAATGAAAATCATGTTATGCTTTTAATCTCAAATTCCAATTCTTCATTGCTGCAATACAGGGAAGCAACTGACTTTTGTTTATTAACCTTGTATCATGCAACCTTGCTCTAACTGCTTCTTAGTGTTTTTTTCTTCTTGATTCTTTGAGATTTTCTACATGGACAATTACATCTTCTATGAAGTTTTATTTCTTCCTTCCCAATCTGTATATCTTTCTCTCTTTTTCTTGTCTTATTACGTTAGCTAAGATTTCTAGATGTTGAAAAGGAGAAGTGAGAGAGGATGTCCTTGCCCTGTTCTCGGCCATTAAGTATGATGCTAGCTGTAGGTTCTTCTATAGAAGTTCCTATCGTGTAAGGAATCTCCCATCATAATTTGCTGAGTTTTTCTTATGAATGGGTGTTGGATTTTGTCAAATGCTTTTTTTGGATCTATTGATATGATCTGATTTTCCTGTTTAACCTGTTGGTGTGACGGATTACAGTGCTTTCTGAGTGTCAAACCTGGCTTGCATATCTACAAAAAAATCCATTTGGTTCTTTTTATACATTGTATACATACATTTTATACAAATCAATCTGAAATTGTTTTTAAACATTCTTTTTACAGACTGTTGGATTTGACTTGCTAATATTTTGCTGAGAAATTTTACATCTACTAATTTATGACAGATAATGGTCTGTGGTTTTCCTTTTTTATAATGTTGGGTTTTGGTATCAGGATACTACCGACCCAGAATGAGTTAGGAAGGGTTCCTTCTGCTTCTGTTTTCTGGAAAAGATGACTAAAAATGGATATGATTTCTTCCTTAAATGTTTGGTGGAATTCACCAGAGAAACCATCTGGGCCTGGTGCTTCCTATTCTGGAAGTTTATTAATTATTGATTTAATTTCTTTAACAAACGTAGGGTTATTCAGATTATCTATTTGACCTTGTATGAGTTTTGGTATGTTGTGCCTTCCAAGGAATTGGTCCATTCCACCTAGGTTATCAAATCTGTAGGCAGAGTTGTTCACAGTATCCCTTTATCATTCTCTCAATGTCCATGGGATCATTAGGGATGGCCTTTCTTGCATTTCTGATATTGGTGATTTTTTATCTTCATGTTTCCATGGTTAGCCTGCCTTGAAGTCTGTCAACTTCACAGATCTTTCCAAAGAGCCATTTTTTTGTTTTGTTTTGTTGACTTTTTCCTCGTGTTTTTCTATTTCCAATTTCATTGGTTTCTGTCCTAAACCTTATTTTTCCTTTTCTTCTGCTGACTTTGAGTCCTATTTGCTCTCCTTTTTCTACTTTCCTGAAGTGGAAACTTACTACTAATTTCAGCTCTTTCTTCTCTCATATATGCATTCAATGCTAAAATGCTGTTCTCTCTAAGCAGCACTTTCAGTAAATTCCTACAAATTTTTTGACAGTTGTATTTTCATTTTTATTTAATTCAAAATATTTGATTCCTATTAAGACTTCTTCTTTGACTCATGTGTTGTTTAAGCTGCATTAAAAAGATTAATCCCACCATTCATAGGTGGGATTTCCCAGCTACCTTTCTGTTGTGATTTCTAGTTTAATTCCATTGTGGTCTGATAAAATGCTTCTTATGATTACTGTTCCTTCACATTTCATAAGATATGATTTATGGCCAAACATACTTTTTAAATTTTTCTTTGGACTCTAAGGCTGTCCATTTTTAAGAAGTGTGTAATTTACTTCATTCATGGCATGGCTCATCAACGACAGGTGGCAATTCATACATACAGACCAGGCACAGAGGAACACTCTAGCTGTCCCTCCTAATGCAGGACACTGCCATGCTTTATGGGAGCTGAAGTAGTTTTCAATTCTCACAAAAGGTAGAACAAAATTCTTTTGCTAAACTGGATGCCCTGAACGAAGTTACATCTTTTAGAAAACAAGGAAGGAAAGAAAAAAGGGAGATTTATTCCTCTATACAAAGTCCTACTAATTTGTGTGCAAAAGAGAAAACTACACACTGAATTAGGGAACTTTCAGTGGGCGGGAGGGAAGGCTCAGAACCAATGAGTCTCAAATACTGATGCTCCCCAGCAGGCCCACATTCCCCCACCGCCCTCCTCCCCGCCCCTGTCTACACTGGAGTGAGGGTTTAAATCGACACCCATAAATACAACATGAGCCAGAGAGACGGCCACCGCATGAATGGTACTAACTTAACAAAGAGTTTTTTAAATTACATAGACAAGAGACATTAGTATATGGAACAGAATCAGTAATAGGAGCTGGTAATAGTCAAAGAGCAAAAACAGCTAATTTCAACCCATTTGTATGATTTTAGAAGAGGTATGAGTGTAATCTTGCTCAGAGATATATAATTCATTTGACTTATACAGAAGGTAAACGCAATTTGTAAGACGTATCCTTGCTGAATTTGTAGTTGCATTACATACCTGAGCATAACAAGCTTCTTCTATGGCTAATCCTGTTACTAAATCAACCTGAGGATAAAAACATAATTAAATTTCAGCAGGAATTACTTTTTAAAATATGGAACACTCAATATAAATTCAAACTAGTAACCCTTCTCCAAAAGCACAGAATCCTTTGATGTAATACAGCAAATCGGAAGTATGACCAGCATGAGAAGTCTGGAACCAGGCTGCCTGGGTTCAAATTCTGCCTCTACCATGTGGGAGCTGTGTAAGCTTGACTAAGTTAGTTATGGTCTCTATACCTCAGAGAGGCACATCCGAATGAGAGACTAACTGTATTATCTACCAAATGGGGATAATCTAGGTGAAGCCTTTATAAGGCACCTATATATGGCCTGCCATGTACTATGGATCATATAAGGCATTTGCTGTTAGTATTGTTACAATTATGTTAGAGTTTTTAAAAACCATTTAACTACTTTGTAAATTTTTAAAACTGTGTTTGTTGCTAACAAATTCAACCTCTTTTTATTGCTATGAAGCTCATGAAGATATGGTGGCCTCTGAGTCTGCACGGAAGAAGTATCGCTCTTCAAAATTCCCTAATTTAACCAAAACACAACTGGGGTCATGAGAGCCCAGCGTACACAGGCACCTGCATTGCTCCCTTGCCCTGCCTACTTCTCTCCTGGCCTGGGGCTTCCACTCTTTAGAAGACGCCTCCTCAGGGGAACCCCAGGACACCCTGAAGGCTTGCCTTGTTAATACGGGCTCCCTGCACAAAGCACATTGAGCAGTTAAAGGTGGAGAGAGTTTGGCTCGGCTTTGAGCCAGAAGTTCTCCTCAGAACGTTCTTTAATAATGCAAAGCTGGTGTTGAGAATACACAGAATGATCTCTTCTTTTGGTTTTCTGTGAACTACTAGCCTATTAGTTGAATGGCAAAAACAGTGAGCATGTCATAAGCTGCAGGACATCAGTGAAATTCCTCAGTTCTGTGATTAAGATACTGAATCAACAACAGCCTAAGCAGAATGAAATCAATAATGTAGCTAAAAACAAACAACCCCCAGTAACTTGTGGTAATAGTGGCATTGAAACAGCTGGATTTTAGAACATTAAAAAATAAATTAAATTAAATCCCCACTACCTCCTCCAACAACAAACTCAAATATTAAGGCACTCACCTCCATCCCTTGATTAATTGCTAATTTTGCCACTCTCATTGCAACGGGTCCCTAAAATTCAATTAGAGAAATAGATTTTCATTACTATTTATGAGAATTATGTTGTAGAACTCAGTAAAATTCAGAAATCCCCATTGCTGGAACCATGGCAAAGAAGCAACAAAAGCTACAGGACAGTTAATGGGAAATTTCTTAAGGCCGTTGCAAGGTCTACACAGCGCTTGGCACAACTCTACTGCACTGGCCACTCTGTGTGGTCAGCTTGCGGGTCAGCAGGGGCTGCGTGCCCAGGAGATGGCTCACCATTCCCCAGCACAAACCGCCCCCCGGAGTGAAGCAGGGAAAAGGAGATGCTGTGCTTGGTGCGATACCACACCCATGAGCGGCCGGGCAGGAGCCCGGGCTGGCGATGAGGCGACACCGGCTCTGCACCTGTCCTCCGTGGGCTTCCAGAACGAAACACAGTGAGGATGTACGGGCAAAGACGTGTCCTCCAGCCAGTGCTCCCACACCACACAAAAGCTTACAGCCAGAGAAGTCCTTTAGGATGTGTGAGGGTCACAGAGGAAAGAACTGGGTGTCCTCTGGGAGGTGAACATGACTTTTGTCGTCTTTGAAAACCACAATGCTCCAGATAGAATTTAGCTGTTTGATCAAATTTGAGATTCCTAAAAACTGTTTATGGGTCATCAGTTAGAATTCAATGGTATCTTTTCAAGTGTCTTTTGGATTAAAATGCAAAATAGGCTCTAGGACTCCAATAAATGAATGAATAAATGCGGGATGGCATGAAAAATGCCATTTTTCCCATACAGGGGCTTCAATTATCAACTTTAACCCATCTAAATTCTCTTCCTAATTCAGATACTTATTAAAATCTTTTTCAGAGGCCACAGGTTTTCGAGGCTCAGACAAGTATCTTTGTTAGAATTCTCGAAACATGACCTACAGGTGTGGAGCATATACTAGAACCATGTTTTCCAGATCATCATCTTTTTTGTTTGTTATTTAAACAGAGGGCTCCTCTCAGTGAGAGTCTTCTCTATTCGCCTGTATCCACCAGCTGACCCAGACAAAGTGCCTGTCCAACTTCCATGTGCGCACAAATCCCCAGCCCCTTAGGAAAAGGTAGCGGGTCTCAGACCTGCTCCTGTGGGATGCCTGGGCTGCACTGGGCAGCAAAGCTTACAAAACTGGTTAAAGAGGAAAATGGAAATGCCAGTAGCTGCAATGATTATTTAGCTGGCCTCTTTCAAAATATAAAACCAACACCTCTTCTTCTGGACCAACATTTTTTTCTCGAACAAGAAAATGGAAGTAACATCCAATACAGAAATCAGATGGAAATGCTAATTTTATAGAAGCTTTCTAATACCTGGAAAAGTAATCATTCAGTTACAGAAACTAGAAATAAAGATGATCGCCCCTCAAAGTTTGTCCTGAAACTCCGGCATATTGTACAGGCTCACATCTTTTGAACCATTCAGGATCTCCCTTGCCCTGGGGAAAAAGTTTAGGGGTTAATGTTCTCAGAGGCAGGTCCCCCAGGCAAAAGGGACGAGCAGTAGGGCCACCCCTGGCTTGTGCTGCGGTGGAGTGCCGCCGGCTGCCAGGCGGCAGGTGGGGAGGCGTGGGCGCTGAGGGCCACAGGGCAAAGAGCGACAAGGCACAGATGTGCCCAGGGACGTGGCTTGCAGCAGGGAGCTGAGTACTCCAGTCCAAAGACCAGGAGAGGCTGTAGTTCTCAGAACTGGGAGGATACCACGACTTTTCCTAAACACACCCCTTACTTCAATGCAGACCTGCACTGGTCTTAGGGTTGTAAGCCACAGGAAGTCATGAAGTCAATATTCCGTTAAACTGCTGCTTCTCCCGATACCTGTACCTTTAACTTCTCTTTAGGCAGACATTACTCTAATATTTTGGGGAAATATTAATACCAAAGTTTCAGTGAAAGCCTCTTTGTTTTTCCTGAAAACACTAAACATCTTTTCTATTTGCTCTCTCCATCAATTCAGAGCGTAGGGCTCTGTGTTACTTCGTGGGGAACAAATTATGTAAGAGCCATGTCCTAAAAGAGCATATAGCTAGCTAAGTGAGCAGGACTGAAGTATCAACACCAGGCAGTGTGGTTCCAGGAACCGACTCCATGGTGAGGCCCGCCGGTCAGCAATCAGGGGACAGGTGAGTCCCAACGGACCTGGGCCCTTGTCTGGCCACTGGGAACTCTAACAACACCTTCTGAAACTGGATGCAAAGCTCCGAACAAATGTGGAGAACATGCATTTTTCTACAGAGAAGTTTCATGAGATTCCCAGAAGGTTCCGTAGCCCCCAAACAGGTTACGAGTCCTGTTAGCATCAAACAGCGGAGTTCGAGAGGAAGTAACTCTGATTCCAGTACTGTTGAGGGAGTTATAAAACCTGAAACTGCACTAGGGAGAAAGACAAATCACTAATTACTTGCATAGCAGCAGTCCTCTAATATGTGATTTCAGAAGAAAGGAATATCTGGAAAATACATGGAAAAGAGAGAACCAAGAAACCCCTGGAACAGGCCCCATGATGCACCATTGCTAACATTACTCATAAGAACTGTCACTTGTGAGTAAATGCAGTGTATTCCAGACTTAAAGTTTCAATGTGGGGAAGAATACTGTGCACAAAGGAGTTAAAACGGTGCCTATATTACCATAAAAACGAACACAAGGAGGGATACCTGGGTGGCTCAGTCGGTTGAGCATCTGCCTTTGGCTCAGGTCATGATCTCAGGGTCCTCGGATCGAGTCCCGCATTGGGCTCCCTGGGAGCCTGCTTCTCCCTTTCTCTCTCTCTCCCTCCTCCTCTAATGAACACAAGGAGACACATGACTGCTGTGTAGGCAGGTCATCTCAAACCCAGCTGGGGCAAGGAGAGCCCATGCTAGTGTAATCGGCTCTGGTCTCCCAGCACGCATGTTTTAGTGGATTCAGCTTGGGGGTGACTCAGTGTGACAGCGCATCCATGGCTGTTTCTCTCCACGTGCACAGCTCAGGTCAGAAGGGTCGGATGGCTGATGATGTAAGCTCCTAGGAAGCTCTGTCACACGTGCCAACGTGTGCGTCATGTATTATCAAGCCCAGCTACAGCATGAGCCTCAGATCATCCTCAAATCTTCAATTTTAATTCTGAAGGCCCTTCATGTTAACCTAGTTTATTGTTTCTGCTTTTAGGGCTACCATGTACTTTTCTGCTTGGAAAACAAGACAAACACATCATAGGCATGTGAGATGACTGTTTTGTCAATTTGCTATAAAGTTATTTAAACAGGAAAAAAAAAAAAAAAGGAAATGTAATTAGCAATACCTGAGGTAAAAACTCTCTTGCTAGGTCCAAGGCCTTGCGGTAGGCAGCATCCCCCTCCTGGTTCTGCTCTAGAACATGGCTGATCAAGCCCACCGCTTTGGCTTCTTGGCCATCGAGCACGCGTGCAGAGAAGATGAGCTCTTTGGCCAGGGACATCCCGATAGCGCGTGGCAGGCGCTGCGTCCCCCCTGCAGAGAGAATGGGGGGAATGCAGGCAATGATTTCATACCTTTCAGTCTTTAACATTTCAACGTTTCACTTCTCGGTTTACAAAATAAACCAGGGCCAGAAGTTTATATGTCAGGATTAGTAACTGGAGAACTACTTCAAAGCAGAATCTAATTAGTTTATCAAATTAATACTACCCAAAAAAGAACCTGAGTATCCTTCTGTAACTGTGAAGGGTTCTGGCACCATTTACTCCTTGCAACACAGCTGGTACGTTCCCGAATCGAAACCACAATCATTACCACGTCAGGGGCCATACAATGCACAGTGGTGGTCAAGCAGCAGTGTCCCTTAGCCCATTCACCAGAGGGATGACAGGTGCTTCAGTTCAGATAAAACTTGTCAGAGACTGAGACATTCAACTCACCATGTGCTTTGTAAAGAATCACTGATGGTAAATGAATGGCAGGCTAATTTTAATTTAATAAAAAGGAAACCAGGTAATTACTGGTGAAAACAGGCTCTGTCCTGGTGGTGCTGGTGCTTTCAACAAGAGCACAGATCACCCCCCCCCCCCATTACGTTCTAGCGACGAGGCCAGGATCTTGTTAAAAAGAAAGCTAGACAAAAGCAGGTAATATTCTTATTTGGAAGCCTCAATTTCTACCAATAAGACTATGGGAGCGACTGCAACATGAGGATTCATCTAAATCTCACCCTCAGGAAGGCTGCTGGGCTGCCAAGGGCGCTGGTGGCCAGGAGGCAGGGAACAGAGGACTGGTGGGCTACAGAGAGAGCTCACCTGAACAAGCTCACTGGGTTCTGTTCTGCCCCACAAAGTTTAGATTTTTTTTCTCTATATGAGTTACCAACATTTAAAAAGTGGGTAGATGATTTCTGACAAAAACTAATTTCCACCTGGAAGCCCCCTGCAGATGCAAGGGCTCTAGCTAGCCATGCCCACCCCACCCCCCCGCCACTCCTGCAGGGCTTGAGATGGACAAGCTCTGCTTTCTCTTAAACAACTTGAAAAGGAAAGCAAAATCTTTTCTTTTTCACATCTCAATCAAAAGTGGCAAAGTGAAAAATAAAGATCACAAGTTCCAGAAAGCATATTTCCCTTCAGTAATGAAGTATATTCCTACATTTTTAACACACAAAGCATGCCTGTATTGGAAGAACATGGCTTAAGATGCTATTATTGAGCAACTACATCAAGAACCACAAGCAGTTATTTAGGAAATGTGGGTGGTTTAGAAAAACAAACACATACAAACCTCAATGAATTGGAAAGGACTGCTATTTTCGATAGGGACTGGGTTTGAACATAAATGAGTACTGCTTCTGTAAAATACAGTTTATTGAGTGTGTACAGTGCCCAAGCAGTGAGAGATGGTGAATTTATAACTTGATATGGCAGAAAACGTGTGTTTGAAAAAAAAATGAAGCACTGACAAATTTAAATCGAACTATAAACAGTGATGTTGCTCGGTGTAGTAAAGACAGGTCTGAGAACTTATGGGACAAGATGAAAGGAAAAGACGAGTTATTTATGGTGTTCCCATTGCCAGCTGATTAGAACAGAAATATAAATACAACCCAGACAGCTCTATTTCCTCATGGAGCTGATGAGAATTTTCATGAGATGGAAGAAGTTATGGAGATAGTATTCATGATGAGCACAACATTAGGAAATGATTCTCTTTTGTGTTCTGTGAAAAGTCTGATGTAGATTGGTCAAAATTAGCAAATGTGACCCTCAATGATCCTTGTTAACGTCACACTTTTTATTCAACTGAAACCATGGAGCATTGCAAAGTCTGTAAAGCTTATGCCCATTCATCTTATCATTTCACCCACAGTATCATCCTCCAGGAATGAGGATTTTGTAGACATTAAAGAAAGGAACAGCAATGAAACAAAGACCATGAAACACATCCACTCCCTGAACTGAACAGCATATAAGTCAAACTCTGCTTGGTGAAATGGATGCATACCAGAACCGTCTGCTGGAGGACATGACCTGAGTGAGGGCTGGAAGGCATGCTGCTGAAGACAGCATTCTGTTTTTGTTGGAAACAACGCACCAGAGGATCTAGGAAAATCCTCACCTTGGCTCACCAGCTAACACTGAAGACTTGGCCTGTGGGTTGACATCACAAGCCATCCACCTTAGGAACCTCACGTAAGTGGGTCATACAGTCCTCGTCCTTTTGTGTCTGGCTTATTACACGAAGTATCTCGTCCTCCAGCTTCATCCTATTGAAGGGCGTCAGCATTTCCTTTCTTTGTAAGTCTGAAAAATATTCCACTGTATGAAGACCAAGTTTCGTTTATTCACTGACCCAGGGATGGTCACTTGGGTTGCTTCAACCTTTTGACTATTAGGAATAATGCTGCCATGCATATGTGTGTACAAATATCTCTTTGAGACCCTACTTTCTGTTCTTTTGGGTAGATACCTAGAGGCGGAGTTGTTAGGTCATACAGAAAATCTATTATTTTTTGAGGAATAGCCATACTTTTTCCTACAAGCTGCACAATTTTACATTCTTATCAACAGGGCACAAGGATTCCAATTTCTCCACATTCTCATGAACATGCGCTCTTCTCAGCGGTGTTTTATTTTTGGGGGGGAGAAGGTTTGATGGCAACCATACTAATGGGTGTGAAGTGGTATCTCCCTGTGGTTTTTGATTTCCCTAACAACTAGTCATGCTGAATTCTTTTCATTTGCTTATTGTCCATTTGTGTATCTTCTTCGGAGAAACATTTAAGTCATTTGCCCATTTTTTAATTGGGCTGCTTTTTGGCATTGAGTTGTAGGGATTCTGTATATATTCTAGATAGTAATCACTTATCAGATATATGACTTGCAAATATTTCCTCCCATTCTGTGGATTGCCTTTTCACTCTGTTGACTGTCCTTTAAAGCATGAAAGTTTTTCATTTTGATGAAATCCATTTTTTTTCTTATGTTGCCTGTGTTTTTGGTGTCATATCCAAGAAATCATTGCCAAACCCAATGTCATAAAGTTTTTCCACTCTTTTCTTCTAAGTTTTTGTAGTTTCAACTCTTACATTAAGGTCTTTGATCGATTTCGAGCTAATTTTTATATATGGTGTAAGGTAGGGTCCAACTTCATTCTTCTGCATGTGGAAATCAGTTTTCCCAATACCATTGATTGAAAGGGGCACTAGTGCTCAAACAGTCACACAAATATATTATTTAACTCACTCATTCCTACTGAAATCTTATCTTTAGGAAACCTGTTTGGTGAGAAATTATCTGGCCCATTTTCCCCTGCTACAATCAGTTTGCAGAAATCAAAGACTGATGGTAGAACTAGAGGTAACTGCCTCCCTACTCCCCCAGCACATAAACTTGGTCATTTCCAACTTTATGAAAAGGATATGCCCTGTTTGGTTTGCCTTGCTCAGTTAACATTGATAGAAAGTACAAATGGAAGTTACTAAACCACGGGGCATTATGATACAAAAACTACACATGATCAACGAGCAATCTCAGATTTCCACCAGTATCTCACAAACAGTCACCCTGTATAGAAAATATTTTTATGTCAACATTCTATCCCAGTTTGGAAGTGCTTCTGTTTGTGAACAGCTATTTTCTATTATAAAATTAAACAAAACACGAGTGCCCGTTAGGAGAGTCAAGGCTCAGCGCAGTAGCACACCCCACAACCAGATAGAGAAGATGCGCGGTGGAGACCTGCCATGAGGGAAAAGGCATCCAATTTTCAGTTCCAAATGCAAAGAGAAGTACTTGAGAGAATTTATTTCAATTCACCTTTCATTAATTTCTCAATACTAAATTCCAACAGCAGTTTAGCGTTAGGTCAAAACAAAGACGCCCTTGGGGCGCCTGGGTGGCTCAGTTGGTTAAGCGACTGCCTTCGGCTCAGGTCATGATCCTGGAGTTCCAGGATCAAGTCCCGCATCAGGGTCCCTGCTCAGCAGGGAGTCTGCTTCTCCCTCTGACCCTCCCTCCTCTCATGTGCTCTCTCTCTCTCTCATTCTCTCTCAAATAAATAAAATCTTTAAGAAAAAAAAAAGAAAGAAAGACGCCCTGTCGTATCTGTCAGCTGCTTTTCCTACACCAGGCTCATCTACTAGATCACACAACCGGCTTACTTCCCATAGGATTTGAGTTTAGGATCATAAAATGCCACCTCTAGATAGTCTCGGGGACTGACAAATTGAAACATGGGACTAAACATGAGGTTGTCCCCAGTGGAACTAGAACTGTTCCACCCTGGCGGCAGCCCTGACGCATTCAAGATCACGGAGCTCTACGAGACTACTCACTCAGAACTTCCAGTACTGTCAGTCCCACCACGGAGCCCTGACTCCTGGTCACACCCCGCTCTGAGGCTCAGAGAGCTTTAATCATTGAAAGTTAGGTTGCAGAAATAGGATTCAAACTTACTTCTGCCTGATTCTTATCTACTATGTGGTAAGAAAGTACAAAGAGCAACTTATGAAATGAACTGATGGCTTATTTTAGAAAATAAAAGGTGTGTGTGTCTGCTATGTATCATTATGTAATAATGTACGTAGGCGTACACACATATCAAACGTGTCCAGAAAGTTGTCTCTGTGAGTCACGATAGCTCTTTTTTTTTCCATTTTTTCATTCATACAGCCTTGCTGTATTTCCCAAATGTTCTGCAACATATAGGTAACAGGACTCCATAATAGTGTAATTTCCAAGATGACAACACATTTGTTCAACTCAATGAGTACGTACTGCAACTTCCTGCCCTAGGCACATAGATACAGTTGTGAAATAAACAGCCCCTGCCTCCTGGATCTTACACTCTCACTGGGAAGCCCACAATGAGCAAACAAACCCATCCCGTCAGACGGTAGAGTGTCGGGGTGTGGAGTACACGCAGCTTAGGATGGCCAGGGAGGGGCCCTTAGGAGGTGACACTAGAGCCAAGACCAGGAGAAAGTGGGGAGTGCACCAGCACACAGGTCTTGTGGAGACCATGTC